GGCGGGCGGCCTTCCGCAACAATATGAGCCAAATGAGTCCGACGAAGAGCAGGAGCCCTCGGGCCCGGGGGACACAAAGCCACCTCCATCACGTAGGGGCCCCTGCCGTGGTCCTGCGGCGGGCGGTTCGTGGGGAGGTAGGGAGTTATGCTGCTGCTGCAGTGGGGCCCGCGCCGGCTACGTCGCCTACGTCGCCCGTTTCGGTGTAAAGTATAGAGGAGAGGAGAAAAGGAATGATGATGTGCCGGTGAGTAATATTTACCGTTGGGCCCGGCCGGCCCTGCGGCTGGCGCTGCTGGCGCGCGCAGCATCCCGAGGACCTCAAGGTCGTGCTCGCCGCGTGCTCGCGCGTGTACGAGTTACGAGTCGGAGGGGGAGTGCTCCCGCGCGCTCAGTGCGTGTGCCTGCTGGAACCCCAATCAATCAAACCCGCTACTGCCGCTCCCTTTGTCTTTGATTCTATGTTTTGGTGAGGGTCGGGATCGGGATCGATCCGATTCCCCGACACGCTGTCAACAAACAGCACACGATGGGCCCGGGCCGGGCGGCGGGTGGAGTCGAGTTTAGAGTTGAGCCGTGGGGACGGCGGACGAGGCCTCCCCTGTTTCTTATCGCGCGTACACATAGAACGCACAAATAACGCGCTTTTTGACGGCTCCTTCTTAAAATCAGTATATATCGTTGTCAGGGAAGGCCTTGCCTCTCCCCCGCCCCCCTCCCCCCGCACACCTCGCCGTGAGCGCGGGTTCAGTGGGCCCGTCTACTGCTGCAGGGCGGCGCGGAGGCCGTGTGTGTCGCTAAAGCTTCCCGTAGATAAGAAGCAGGGCGACTCGGCCAAAAAGAATAAGGACTCGAGTGCAAATTTATTCGGTCGCCTTTATTATTGTCCTGCAGCAGCACCACCGTCCTCCCGCTCCCGCCCGCCCTGTGTCTCTGCCGCCCACCGCTCCTCCCCGCTCGCCTTGCCGGTTTTCTTCGGAAGCCAAGGCCGCTAGACTACTTCCGGCGTTGCAAATCGCAGCCCGGCCAGGCCAGGGGGCAGCACCTTTGCAAATCGAGAATGCGTTCGCATATACTGGTTCCCTTATCGTGTGGCGCGCCGGTGCGGGACGCGGGGGCTGTCCGCCGCCGCCGGTCCCGCCCGCGTCGCGCCCTCGCGTGTGACATGTTGGCTGCTACTCGTGTCCTCATTTAAAGACGCATGCGTTTTGTTGAGCATTTTCCTTCCTCGCTCTTCTTGTCGTTTTATGCGCGTCCGCGCCGCCGCCGAGGCCCCCCCGCTCGGCTCGCCCGCGACACCTGAAGGAGGGGAGGGCAGGGCTCGCAGGGACTCGGACTTGCGTTGCGGTCTCCTATCCCCCGACCGCCGCCCGCGCCTGTGGCCGCGGGGTGCACGCGACCTCCGCAATCGCAGGGGTGCTCCAGGGCGCCCTGCGCCGCACCTGCAGGTGTGGAAGCCGCCCGTCTCAGAACGCGTTCGAGGAATTTCTCGCCGGCGACGGGCGGAAAAAAACGCGCGCCTCTGCCTCGCTCTTCAAACGGTTTTAATGCCTCGCTTCCTCTACACTACACCGTGCCGCTGCCGTTCGCCGCGGGCCGCGGGAGGAGTCACCGAGGAGCGCGCCAACGCCGGGGACATTGCCGCCGGGCTTGGTGCGGGAGGGAGCTGTGTATGGGGGGCCCTACCTTACCTTACACCATAACCGCCTCCGAGGAAAGGCAGGAGAGCGATGACGCGCTCCGTGTGACCAATCAAAATACCCCGTGTTTCCCGGTGAGGGGAAGGGGGACCCTCCCTCTTAACAGCCACCTTTCACTCGTCGCGCCCAGGGCGGTCGTCCTCCCGCGCCCCGCTGCCACGATGGACGCGTTTTACGCGCTTATAAGCGCGTAAAACATCCGGAAAGCACGTACGTCAGTCGCTGTTAGGAACTTGTAAAGTTCAGCCTCTGCACGCTCTCATAACGCCTCGTAGGTAGGCAACATCGAGCATGCAATGCATGCGTGTAGTGCGGGGTGGCCTACCCCAAGTTTCACAGGCGCCGAGCTCCCCGAATTTGCCGAATTAAACTGAGAAAAACGGACGTATTTTCTGGACAGTCCCTTAACGTACGTCCCCAAGGGTCGCCCCGCCCCCGCTTTGCCCATCACCTTCGGTTTCATGATAAAGATCGCAGCTATTTTAAAGCCAAACAGGTATATAGTACTGCGTCACGGGGGCGGGGACGGTGACGCGTCTCCCGCTGATTTCCACGTTCGTCGGCATATACCGGATATCTCGCAACGCGACGCAACAGGCGGCGTGAGCGAGACGGAGAGGCTGCGGCTGCTGATGAGGGGTGCCGGGTTGATCCTCTCAGCCCCTGACTGAGTCCCAGCACAAGACCCGGCAGCCCCCCCCCCCCCCCCCTCGGGTAACAAGAGCCTGAGCAAGGGCCGGAGTGCAAGCCCGGGATCCAGTTTGTATGGTGTTTGGGGAGAGACGGAGGGGTCATTGTACTAAAAGCTTGACAAGTAAACCAGGAAAAGGGAAAGAAGAGGCGCAAACAATGAATGCAATCTGAGCCCAAAAAAAAAAACAATGAGGAAAAGTGTTCTGATTGTATTACGTACCGACACGAAGACCAGAGAGCTTTCGCATTTTCCTGTACTACTGCCCTAAACGGCTCGTCGTAGCCTACTACGTGGTGGATCCCCACCTTCCCTCTATACTCTTTCGTTCCACCCGCTCCCGTTTCCCCTTTGATCCGGGCACGAACCAGATCGCCACAAGCCGCCTCAAAAAAGACACCACGCGGGGCTTTAAACGACAAATCAGGGGGGGACACTGCGCGCCACTCTGTGCTTCTAATTGCCTTCCCGCACCACATTTGCCGGGCGTGGCGGGGAGTAGCGGGGAGTAGCGGGGAGGTGGCTGAGCCGTATAAGGAGGAGCATGCGTCCAGGAGGCCGGAAATGTTGCAACAGCACTGCTATACTCCTCACATGGACGGGGGCGTCCGATGTGATCGTGCTCGGCAAAATAAATATTTGTCTTTCATGTCGCGGTGGAAGAAATAAATATGGCGGAGAAAAGGGGGTTGGCAGGAGGGCAAGTGCAGAGCAGTATAGCTGGGCGTACATTCAGGTGCGGTAGGTCTGTGGTTCAGATAATCTGTATCGTTCGCGCATGACGTCGTTCCGCGTGGTGGCACCTGGCGGGGCGCTGAGTGACCGCGGCTGCCAGACACTCGACAGTGTAGAGAAGGAGGAGGAGAAACCGGATCGATCTGAGTACCCAACTGGTGGCCAACCGACGCGGCGCGAGCGGCGGCGGCGGCCAAAAGCTGACCGATAACACGCGCCGCCGTCGAGTACCGGATGCGATGCTGATCGGGTACCCAAACCGAACCGAACAGAACCGGATGCGAGTGAGTAGGCGACCGGGTACCCGCACCCGTTTATCATCGGCGGCCCCACGGTCAAGGCATAGCGCACCGGAAGAGACCTCCACAGACTCCAAGTCCGACTCGCAGCAGCCTAATTAATGACTTGCCCTCGCTAATAGTCGGTTATTGCGTCGGAAATCGGTAAGGGCAAAGGAGAAGGAGGACGAGGGGGAGGAAGAGAAGGGGGG